AAGATGATACATGGTAACCCAAAAAGATGCATACGACCCAAAAAGATGCATGGCAATCCAAAATAAAGCATGCTAGCGGCTACCCAGAATTATGCATGGCTACCCAAAATGATACATGGTGACCCAAAAGGATGCATGCAACTCAAAATGATGCATGGTAATCCAAAATAAAGCATGCTAGCGGCTACCCAGAATTATGCGTGGCTACCCAAAATGATGCATAGTAACCCAAAAAGATGCATGCAACTCAAAGTGATGCATGGCAATCCAAAATAAAGCATGCTAGCGGCTACCCAGAATTATGCATGGCTACCCAAAATGATACATGGTAACCCAAAAAGATGCATACGACCCAAAAAGATGCATGGCAATCCAAAATAAAGCACGCTAGCGGCTACCCAGAATTATGCGTGGCTACCCAAAATAATACATGGTGACCCAAAAGGATGCATGCAACTCAAAATGATGCATGGCTATATAGAATACTGCAATGTAACCCAAAAACCTTCTTGACCACCCAGAATAACGCATAACTAACAAGAATGATGCTTTTATGATTTCCAACTAATCTTCAACAACATAAGACAGGCCAGCAGTGAAACAATCCCCTACATCCACGTACACCCACGTGAAGTCAAATTATTGGTCAATTAATGAACTCAAAAGAATAGAAAATTAAATTTCAATATTTTTATAGGTTAATAAAAGTTTAATATCAGAAGGGGATCCCACATAAAAATGGCATTTGTGCCATTTTATATAGACATATATCTATAATAAAGGTCCACTTATCTTATAAATATCGCTGTATAAAATGTAATGAGAAAAAAACTCTTTTATTTATTTACCTTTGCCTTGCTTATGAAGTAAACCTTGGATAGATACGCTGTCAAGATCGTAATGCTTTGTCGTCGGTGGTAAAAGCTAAACTGCTGCGGATATGCGGGTCTAATGAAAATTATAAATAGCTTTGTTGATTATGACTCATCTTTACACCAGGCCACCTTGGTACAAGGAAACAATTACCCACTCAAGTAAAAAAATCCAGATATAGCCATGACAATAAAAAATGGCTTTTTAAAACTTTAAATTGGTGATTTTAGAACCCATTTAGGTCTAGCCTTTCTACATTAAAAGCTACCAGTGATTATTTTAAAGATGAACTTGAGTGTGAAGAGCCGTAGGATTCCGTGAGATAATGTCATTTTTATAAACAAATTCATAGAATGGCTGTTTAGACAGCATCAAAGACCTTGGCTTGTATTTACAATTGGTTCTCTTTCAAGTAGCATGTATATTCACGCTGGCCCATTAATTGTTATATTTTAATAACCACACGCAAAGACGCGCTATCTTCTCCAAAGTCACGAAAAGCTTTAATATCCCTTTATACCTCTTAAACATCGCAGAAAAACTACATATTCCAATAAACAACATTAAGTACTATCTTTTTATAATCATAGCACTAAAATTTTCGATCTGGTTTTTAAAGACTCGGTCAATTTTCGTCGCGTGTCTTAGCTTGTCGTCTATTTCGGTAAGAGTTGAATCTTACTTGCTAACGGGCCCTTCCGCTCTTGGGGGGCTGAATTATCAGCTTTCCAATGTACAGCAACTACCCATTTTGATTGAATATACCTATATCAGTTGTGTGAAGTTTTGGATTTAGGTGTTGGATATTATTACTTGAATATTTGTTACCATAATTGCATCATCAGATTTTGTTTTCCTGGAACTGATTGACCAGTGCAAGCACAAAAGACTTGCAACGTACAGGTATGTCTGCACACATTTTCGTCTACAGGGAACCAAAATTGATTGCATTTTCTGTTCTATATTGAATCATTCTTGAAAAGAATAGCGGATATATTTATGTACAATGCATTCATATATGATATGTATGCACGTATGGTATCAGTCCATATAGCCCACTTTTGTTCGTAACATATTCAAGCTCCTTGGTAATAGATAAGTACATATGCAATATTTATTAGAGATGACATGTTTTTTAGTCTACAAGTTTAACTGAAAAAATAGAGTGCAAACAATATAACCGTGAAACTTTAGTAATACTAACTAGCACAATTTCATGCAAATACCATTGTTTTCTATTGTTTAATYAGCACTATTTTGTACTATTTAGTCATTAGTGTTTCACGGATTAATTGTTTGCACTCTATCATGGAAATTCCACCACAATTTCTAATATTTTTAGGACACAAAGTTCTAATCTCTAAAACTGTAGCCCTTCAAAGTGGTGTGGTCATTCCTTTTTTTTTTTTTCATTTTGGTCGCAGCATTTCAATATGAATAACAGATCACTGTCTTTTACGGCCACATTATAAATATTGAAGCGGTTCGTTCACTTGTCCGAATAAGTGAAATCCAATTTTTGCCCACGAAAGATCAGGGCTGAAAACGAATTTTGGGCCAAGGTCAACGCTCGATTGATATCGACATGTTCAAAGGGTAGATAACTTCGATACTTTTTGCCCCTTATATAACGACCAAAACAAATAAATTCAGATCCACATGCATGAGCTAAGACTCGAACTTGGCGGCCGATAACGACAGGTTCTTAAGATCAACATCTCTATCAAGATAAACACCTGTTGCTGAATCAGAAAACACCAACCTTTCGAAAATGGTCGATATTCAGAGGTTATATAACCATTCATAACACAAAGCACGACCGATATCCAGAGGTTTTCTCATAACAAGAATAAGTCTAATTAGGATTTATTTTTGTCCTGTCAAAAAATCAAAGGTCGTTAATCGGAGGTTTGTCTTTTCATTACGACCCTCTCATAAGGATGTTTTTCAGTTTCCTAACACGAAAACATTCTAAAGCATCTCTTACAATCGACATTCGGACACCGACCATCGGTCGGTCGGCCAAAGGTTCTAGATAGCCTTGACCTTGTAAGTAATAATAAATCATAAGAAAATAATAAGCAAATAAAGACTCACGAAATCCATTTTTATCCCACGGCAGTCGGCGATTGTATACGTAGAATAGCCATCCATTCATGACATCAACACCCGTCAATAGGATTTTCAAACCATTCACTGAACCTTCCGCCATTTGGTTACCAAGGTGAGGTGAAATATGAACCCGTTGGCTTGACCGCGCACCTGTCCGTAACAAACAGTAATTTAATCATGTATCCAAATGAAAACATATAAAATAACATAAAAAGAATAAAGAGAAAGTAAATAAGCTAAAAGAACATTATGCATAAATGTTATATTTGAAATTATTGGTATTAGGTTTTTATATTATATTTATCATTTGGAATTTTCAGTCTTCTTTTTCAAAAATCACAGTAAAAAGGTGATATCATAAAATATCAAATGTCAAAAAGCAGAAAAAGCTTTGAAGATAGATGACGATTTTGGTTTAATGATTTTTCTAGAAAAATAGTTCAAACAAAAACATGTCAAGTGAGAGGAAACAAAACGTGACTTCTCTTCGTTTCAACAAGCGTGAAACAGGTTTTTTCTTTATAATAAAGTGGACATGTATCACTCTTCAATCAAAACAAGACTGGTAGTAAAAAAACTCACATACTAATCACAGCTTCCGTAAAAAAATAGTACCACAGTATAAAATAAAATGATTTATTTCAGGAAAATAATTTATTTACTATTTTCGATTGATGTTGATAAACTACGATAAAAAATAATCTATTTTTCTAAGTACCACAATCTTTTTATTTGTATTATAAGAGCAATATTTAAAAAAATATCTGTGTTCAAAAGCAATATTTAAAATAACATATTTATAAGAGCAATATTTAAAAAAAAAAAAAACTTTTGTTCAAAACATTACTAACAAGATTCTTATTCAAAACGAGAGCATCACAAAGTTTCGTGATAGATATATCCATATATATATCAGCTTTACCAGGCATGGCTTTGCTTACTTGTGGTCTGAATCTACAAAGGCCAACAACATGCAATAGCTCGAGTGTTATTCAAATAAACCTTAAAAGGGTTTTAAAATATGCGAAGATTAGATAAATAAAGCGCAGAGATAATAAGTCTGGTTTCGGTTGCTGTCAAATGGCTTACTGTCGTAAAGAAAAGAATAGCATAATGATTTGGAATGCTTTGTCACGTAGTATCACGTATCTTATATAGCGGTTAAGCACTTTATATATACAATAGTAATGATAAAAGTAGTAAAATCTAGTTCCCTTTTATCATTACTAATAAGAAAAAATGATTGATCAAGTGTTGATGATGAAAAAGCTTTCCTTAAGGTAACTGCCTACTTTTGAACGTTCGATTTGAGCCCACGATGTGAGCGCGCTCAAAAACCGCTGAAAAATCTACAAGATTTTATTGAAGAACCATACGCGTTTTGAGCTTCAACAGGGCAAAACCCTCAAATTTTGCACGGGACTCTCTATTTTTTAATAGCTCATTTGAAAAAACTCCTGAAAATCTAGGTTACATCAACATTTTAGAAAAAAAATTATATTTCTAACACATGAAAAAATAGATTTTTGTTAGGGATTTGTGTTCGACTTTATGAGATTTTTTAAGAGCACCGAAACTACAAAATATGACAAATCAATGTATCTCTTTGTCTTTTTGTCGAAAATATCCATGTATTATTGTAGAACGATTGACTAGCCTTCATTCGTGCAAACATGATATACTATAATCTTATGAATCTTAATTTTTTCTAATCAATTCGGGTGGCGCAAGTTCTGCTCAAAAAGCTCGTGCGTAGGCTTCCACTAAATGCTGATTATCTCGAAAACAAGCTCGGGACACCCAATTTTTCTTTCCAGATTTGGAATCAGCATTAAATTTCAATTCGGAAAATCGAAGTTTAAAAAAAAGTTTAAATCGTTTTCCAAAAGTAGGCAGTCATCACCTTAAAAGAAAGATTCAATAGTGAAACAACATCTAAGACTGTATGGCATACAACGGAAATATGTTAAGAGCTAAAAATAATAATAACAACAATATATAAGTAATAATAATAATAAAAAAAAAATAGAATAATAA